GGATGAGAGCCTCAGGGGGTAGAATTTTAGATCTATGAATTTCAAAATTTCAGAAATTCTACTTTCTTCATAGAATTTCAGAATTTCTATGGCGGCAAAGAGTATGTCCACTTAACTCCAGCAGAAGCTCGCCTCATCAACCTCCACTTAACCAACTCATCAAATCAACTAATACTCTCCATTTCTTCTGAAAGTATGTAGTTACTCATGTCCATAATTCTTGAATGTTCTGGGCTAGCAGGCAGCACTTAAGTATGCCTCTCACTTGAACACATGTTGGACGGAATATTTAGCAAGACTCAGTTATGAATTTCTCCACTCTGTTTATGTCAGATGCACTTGATACTGCAATTGTGTAATTTAGTTAACTATTATATAGCAGATTAAATAGGCATTTGAAAATAGTTGCTTTTACTAATGACAATTTGAAAGACTTAATAAAGATTGTTGGCGTTGTGGATTCTCTACATCCCAAATTAGGACATGGAGTTAGGCAGATGGAGATGAAAATGTTACTGTTATTACTAATAAAACCAAAATTGGAATATATGTCACCACGACATACTCTCTAATGTATTATTCTAGAATTTCACAGCCATACTTGTGCCATCATAGGTAGCTCTGGGCAGCTGGTAGCCTCCGCCTTGGGAGTGGAGAACTTATGCTTGTGGAGAGACAGGAAATGTGTCTAGGTTGGGTTCACAAGAGAGCCAGTTTAGCTACTTTTCCCAAACTCAGCCATGCCTTTCTTTCTGCTATGGAGAGTGGGAAAAGTGGTCAGGAGGGCTAACTATAATGGAAATTAATTCAGACAGAAACAAGGCAAGGAAAATGGAACCTCCTTCCAGCAACCAAGTCACATACACACACATATATATACATATGTATGTATATATGTGTGTGTATATGTATATATGTGTGTGTATGACTTGTGTGTGTGTGTGTATATCTGAGAATTTGTGTACATATATATATATATCTGAGGAGCAGATATATATATATGTACACAAATTCTACACATTAGGTCTAGGCAAGACAATTGTCCAATATTGGGGGAAAATCATTAAAATCTGGATGGAATTTACACTCAGATGAATGTTCCAATTCCACTGAAAAAAAAATCACAGCGACAAATTATAGGTAATATATCGTGGGTGTGTTCTATGCAAGAAAAGAACATGGAAACCTATTTAGTGAACTACACTCAGTGAAAAGCTCGTGACTATGAAACATTCACAAACAGAGGCATATTACTATGTCATAGGTTGTAATAAAATGTGAAGGTGTGGATCATATTTATGATTTCCCTTTTTTAACTGACTTTTTAAAAGTTAAACAACTACAGTACTGGTTCTAATCACATTGAGCAAGAGGACTTCTATCGTCAAAAAGCACATCACTTAAGTTTTTTGTTGCATTCGTAAAAAAATTAGGATGGTTAATATATCACCTTGAACTATAAGGGATAACACTGGTGCATGATCAATTCTAGGTTTATTTATTCTTTCTGTCATTCTTTCAAAACCATTGGGCTGTCTTCTTTTGCTAGGCACTGGACCAAAAGTGAGAATTAATAAGACAACTTTAATCTCAAGTCATTCACAACTTTGTATTTATATAGGGCGTACTTATTTGGTAAATCATACTAGCTGGTGTATTAGTCCAAGTCTTCTGAGAAGCAGATGGGATAATAAGTGCAAGGAGTTAATTGGGGGAAAGATCTGAGAGAGAACATGGGGAGGGAGCAGAGAAGGTTGGGAGAGTCTTCAACTGTGATGTTAAGTTTGACTCAGAGTGAAGGGAAGAGAGAAGGAGGCATCGTGCAGTCTACAGAAGCTTCCGCAAGGTTGCTGGGGGTGCTCAGCCAACGTTCTCCATCAGAAGAAGCCCAGGTCTCCCAAGGACTGGCTTGCCTCCGTGTCCCTGCCATGCACAGTCACTAGCTGGGAGCCACCTGGCCTAGGAGTTAAGGTATGATGGATTTTGGAGTTCAACAGCAGGCACCCTCGGTCAGTTATGTTCCCTGTAGTTGGAAGTCTGAGTGGCTCATTCTCATGGACACTGCAACCAGATTTGGAATGTTAAAATTTTAAAAAGTCTAGAAAACTCATGCTCATTGTGTAAAATTAGAAAACATACAAGCAGATAATATGTGTCCTTACTTCCTTTATCCCTCCTTTAATCCATTCGCCTACATCATTGAAAATAACACTGTAAAATGCAAATGTCATCATTTTACAGATGCCCATTGCCTTCAGTAAAGGATCTAGACTCCTTGATCACTACTCTCTCTCCAGCCTTCCCTTTCCCACATTTGCCAGCAGTTCCCATTGACAGTTCTCTAAACACCCTGCTGTTTCCTCTGCCCATGGGTTTCTCATCACTGGACTTTTAAGGCTTGGACAAATGTCACTTCCCCTAAGAAGCCTTCTGTTCCCCCCACCCACCCCCCATCTTTTATCAGGCACCTTCCTATGCATTTCTTTATCACCCTGTAATTAGCTCCACGACGTGCCTGTATCCCACACCTAAGACCTTGAGCTCCTGGGGAGTGGAGACTTGTTTTGTTTTTCAGGATTTCCAGCACCCTGCACAGTGTTTGACACATAGCCAATGCTAAATTACTGGGTGGTTACTAAACAGATGAATGAATGTGAACATGCATGCTCCTTGACAGCCAATGAAGGCGAGGATGGAATGTAAGAAAAAAATATAATTTATTGATGGTGCTTATTATTCACATTTTGTCTGTGAAATAAATTATTCTAGTTATTGCAGTATATAGTAATGGTGGATCTTCCCCGAAGAAAAACAAGGTTGATGAACCCCTCTGCACTTTATGTCTACAAAGTGTTTTGCTATAACCTTTCATCCATATCCTCCCAACATCTCTTCAGTGACTTACACGTCTTCCAGCTGAGACCCTGTGAATTCATGCTTCTCTGACATGGTGGGTGGCAGTTAAGTGACTCCCTAGCCAGCAATGGGGTTCACAACCCAGGTGGGGTCCTCCCTACTCTACCTGCTGACTCATAATTGTTCTATATGCCCTGGATGTTAAGCAGCCTGAACTGATGATGTGAATGTTTCCTACTGATCAGAATATTCGTGCCGCTCAGACATTCAGCTTATTACCATCAGCTAAAAGGAAAAGATGGGAGTGGGGGAGGCTGGGCATGCTAAAGCCCAGTTCTGTTTATGTGATTCTCATGAAAAGTCTGTGCTATATTCATAAAGATTTTTGTTAAGGACCTTTCAAATCATTTTCAATTACTTAAAAAAATTGTTTTTAAACTTACTTTACCTGTTTGGCAAGTATGTTTTACTTGACTTATTCAACTGCCTTCATATCCCCTACAAATCCCACTCAAAAATAGGTTATAGCCAATCATTCCTCTTTGTGTTAAAAAACAAAAACAAACAAAAAAAACCCTATACCTTCTTGTTTTTTTGAAATATTGACTGCACAGGTAATTGTAGTATAAATGTATTCAATAGTCAAAGAGTCGTCTTTGGGAAGGAAATTAATAATACTACATCATGGTATGTTGAGTGAATTTAATTTATTCAGTCTATTACTTTCTCTCAATAGGGATAATTTAAATTCTATAGCAGTTTCATTTTAAAACCTGTGAATTCTCAAATCTTCTAATTTAATTATGAAATTGAAAATGATGTCAAATCATTTTGAGTTTACATTTGTATAAAGTAAATAGTGTGCACATGACTTGGGTAATAAATAACATCTCTCTCAAGTATTTCTAATTAACTTCATTCTCACATTTTTAAGTCCTTATTCTCAAATTATGCAATCATTAATATCATATTATCAGGATAATAGTATCTGGTAGCTCATGTATATTTTCTCCACCCCTGCTCCTAAAGCTAGAAAAGCCAGGCTGTTCTGTTGTAAACTTTTATTGGCAGGGGTTCATAATTCAGCTGTAAAATTTCATGCTGGGCTACAATTCACTGCACAAGCCCTATGCCCTGAAGAGCTTATGCTACTACAAAAACAATTGTAAAAATCCATTTTTTCTCCTTTCAGGTGAACCAGAAAAAATGGTACAGTAAGAAATATTATCCTTAAAAAAAAAAAGACACTTTCTAAAAATAAAAGTTGGTGGATGAAATGATCTACTTGGCACTTAGGGATCACCCCTCACCCATCAAAATAACTATCATATGGGCTGGCCCGGTGGCGCACTGGAGAGTGTGCCACTTGGGAGCGCAGTGGCGCTCCCGCCGAGGGTTTGGATCCCATGTGGAGACTGGTTCCCGCTCACTGGCTGAGCGCGGTGCGGGCGCAACACCGAGGGTTGCGATCCCGTTGCTGGTCCCTGGTATGGGCACGACACCGAGGGTTGCGATCCTGTTACTGGTCAGTAAAAAAGACAAAAAGGAAAAAAAAATAATAAATAACTATCATATGATAGCAATGGAAAATTTACACTTGTAACAGGTACAACTTGCTCCCTGGTACTCAGAGTGCAAGAAATGTCACCTTCCTTTATTTTTCTAAGTCAGATTAAATCCAGTGAGAGGTGGCTGTCATCAAGGCTGACAAGAAGTTCAATAACAGTCAATGTGGGGTGCCCTCTCCCCAACCTTGGGCTGTGGTGGAACTCCAGGGCTTATGAATTACAGAAAAAGAGCAGAGGGCACAGAGCTAGGCACATGGTGGCTCTTGATCTTTGCCCAGGCAGCCAGTTTTATTGGCAGAATCACCCCCTTTCCTGCCACCATGACAAGCTCGGTCATGGGAACTTTGAGGAGGCTCCCAAGTTCATGGTGCACATGCTGCTGTCCCTGTCAGAGATCTTGCCACCTTAAGTGCAGACTTCAAGATTGCCATGACTATTGAAGGTCTCTGACCCTCAAGTATCCCAAGACACACGCACTCGCCCAAACATCCTCACACCTCTCTTTTCTACCTCCCTCTCGCCCTGTCCCCCAATGTCCCCTAAACCCAGTTTCCAGCCTACAAGGAGCCAACAACACCTTGGTACTTATCTATTTTGGGAGTACACAAGTTCACTTGAGAATTCTTCTCTGTCTCTGAATTACAAAACCACTGTCTGATTTTATCCTCTTGCAGTTACTGGGGTTGGAGGGCGGGGGAAGGATGAAAGAAGATGCTTTCAGTCTTCCTACTTACTCCACTTCATGGGGGAAAAAAAAAAAGAAAACACTAATTACATATTTTATTTTAATAAAACCACCCTGTTGCACAATCAAGTTCTATTTTACTTTAACATTCTCAGATGCTCGAGGACTCATGAGATACGAATTGCTTTAAATTTGCAACTACTTAGCAGCTGTCTTTGGGTATGGGACTGAAAGCCTGATCTCATTTTTATCATTTATAAAACTAGAGATATGAATTCTCTAATTCCACAAAAATAGAAGAATATCAATTCTACAAAATTTCTTCCTGACCTAAAAATCTCATAATTTATGAAATACTTGTATAGCTTGATAATTTCTGAGTTATTCTTTGTGTTCAGTGTTGCTTTTATATCCAGAGATGTTTTTATTATCATACACAAATTTGAATGTGGCATAATCAATGTTATTTGTTATTTTGATGATAATCATGAGGCAGTCCCTTCCTAATAAAACTAAATCAACAAAGTGACAGAAGAATAGAGGAATTTCTGTAAGACTTTTTGTAAGATTTAAAGACAGAAAACTGCCGTACGAAACAGCAATCCCTCTCCTGTGTATATATCCAAAGTTATGGAAATCATCATGTTGAAGGGATACCTGCAGTCCCATGTTCATCACAGCTCTATTTATAATAGCTAAACTATGGAACCAACCTCAGTGTCCATCCACAGATGACTGGATAAGAAAAATGTGGTATATACACATTGGAATACTACTCAGCCTTAAAAAGGAATAAAATTCTGCCATTCACAGCAACATGGATGAGCTTCAAGAAAATTACATTAAGTGAAATAAGCCAGACATAGAAAGAGAAATACCACATGTTCTGACTCATAACTGAGTGCTAAAAAAGAAAGAAAGGAAGAAAGAGAGAAAGAAAAGACCACAATATATTTTGAACTTTCAGAAAGAGAGAACAAACCTAAGGACACTAGAGATGGAGTGAAGGAAGGAAGCGGGGTTGGGGAGTGATTGGTCAGGTAAGGGGCATAAAGAATAATTACAATTTGTAATAATGAATATGCTAATAAAAATAAAGACATGGGTAATTAATAGGCTATATTATTACTTTGAAGAGAGACTGTAATTTGGATAAAATTCCATTGTTCATCTTACTGCGTTGCCATTTTAAGAATATGTGAACTGCTCTGAGAAATATGTGAAAGTCAACTTGAACTTTCTCAACGGCTTTGTTGTAATCCTCTTCTAACTTGGTAGCTCCCAACAAATCAGTTACACCTGCTTGTTAACTTAGCAGGTTCCCCTGTCTATGGGCCTGATATACCAACCTGCAAATGGAATCTTCCCCCAAGATCAGGCTGTTCATTTGTGATTTAGAACTTACAGCTGTTGATACTCTTCCCTACTTAATTAACCAGTGCCCCTTTCAAAGCTATGCTAATTTCAAAAACAACAGAGATAGAGAGAGAAAAAGAGAGAGAGAATGGATTCGGTAAAGTCTGAGATGTCCTTCAAAAACTGAGATGGGACATGGAGATATTAACATTAATTAATCAGACTGAATCTTCAAGCTTCTGGTTCATGATAAGCAATAAATGACAATGGGCCACCACTAACAGACTCAGTAGCAGGTCTGCTATTAACATACCTCTAGCACACCTTTAAACAAACAAACAAAAATGCTGAGATCGAGCAATACTGAATGAAGGTGGTAGAGGGAATTAAGAATGGGTAGACAGTCTGAGAGGCGAGAGTAAGATGTAAAGTGTGAAAAATCTTCATTTGCTCCATGGCCATTCAGTACTTTCAGTATAATGGTTTATCTCTGTTATTTAATCTTTTAATCTTCTATCTATATATGCATTCTTGTCTAGGAGGTGCCCAAATGTTAGGGAAAGGTATGGGATGGGACGGGGTGGATATTTTTTCTTGGCCCCTCTACATCCTATCAACACCTTTCTCCCCCTGGCCTGTGCTCCCAAAGGTGGACTTGAACGGGTTCTCTTGCTCTCTGGTGTGCTGCTGGAATTGTCCAATGAGGAGCACCTGGAGGAAGATGGGAAAGTGTAGCCCCCCCCCCATAGAGGGCACACGCCTGTCAGGCTACACTTTACTCCTTGCCCCTTCAGAACTAGGGTAGTAGAGGCATGTGGAACTACTCTTTGGATTCTGCACTATCATTTGTAGATTCCTTATAACCTGCTATCATCCTTTTGTCAATTTTTTTTTTAATTAAACTCTTCTCAAATGATCTAATTTTACTGTACCATCTGTCTCTGTTGGGATCTTGACTGACACAGGACAGAAAGGATTTCTGGAGGAACTACATAATGAGTTACATCTTGAAGGACTAGGAGTGCATGGGAGAATAGGTTGCAAAGAGGAGCAAAAGAAAATACAAGAGCATTTCAGTCAGAAAGAGCAAGGCATGCCAAAAGCGGAAGCATTGAATTCAGATGGCAAAGGACAGAATTTACTGGTTTAAGGGCATCTATTATGCTACTGACTGATGGCTGGTCTTTCAAAACATATTTGCCTAGCAATAAGTCCTTCGGCAGTGAAAATATCAAACTATGGTCCTTTACCTTTAGGTGACATTGCATTGAGCAACCTACCAAATGCCCACCAGGTGGCGCTCATGCAGTAACTTTGGAGCCCTGAATGCTAAAGCTGAATTGGAAATAGTACTGTCAAACAGATGTTCCTGTCTTTGATGCTGTATCTAAGTTAAGGTAGGAATGATGAGGTCAAAAAGGCTAATAAATTTATTATGTGGTGGTAAAGTTATTTCTCCTTGCCCATGAGACAGAAAAGCCATTATTTTTAAAGCATAATGCTAGCTTATGCTTTGTTCACTGTGACACAAAATTCCCCTAATCCCCCTCATACTTTTATTATTCTTTGTGTGATGTGTGTCTTTGGTTATGAGTAAAGAAGAAGAGATTATAGTAGTTTCTGTAAGCTGACTGCTTAGGAGTTCAGTAAATTTAAATAAATCTATGGCAGAAAAAATGCTTTGGACACTGATCATCCAACAGTGAATAAAAAATGTAGACAGAGCATTAATGCAGGAAGGCAAGATGTGAGAGGGTGGCACTGCCCATACACAAAGCGGACAGTTTGACAAAAGTGTTTTTTCCCCACTTTGATCAAATAGACTACAGCATCTTCGCATCCAGCTTGTGAAAGTGCTGAATCTGTTTTCCATTTCTCTTTATCCCTCCCCTCACCCAACCCTGACACCCTTTCATCCAGGTCTCCTCCCTGGAATGAAATAGGTTGTTAGTAGACGGAAATGGATAGTACCTAATTCTGCAGATAATGAGAAATGTGATAGAAATGTCTCAGGTTCTTGTCCTTTTCTCCCATCCTCTTCTTCCCCAGCTGCAAGGTCTACAGACTTTCATGAGTAGCTTCTGTTGCAGGTAGGGATGTCAAAGAAAGAAAAGAGGCCGCTGACTACCCAGGCTGCAGCCTCCAGGGTGCGGGGCCAGGCCCTCAGGATTGCACACCCAGAAACTTGAGAAAGGCCTCATCCAGTATCAGATGATAGATTCATGTGCACTGGCACAAGTTTAGGAAATTGTGAGGCAAAGAAGGAGAGGAGGAAAGAGAAAAGAAAGTGCAGAGTGTATGTCAGAAAATTTACATACATGACTTCGGTAAAAACTAATTAACCTGAGAGATGAAGTTTATGTATGTATTTGACAGCTGGTGAGTGTGGGGATCTGAGCCCTTGACCTTGGTGTTATAACACCATGCTCTAACCAGCTGAGATAACCAGCCAGCCTGAGAGATGAAGTTTATTATCCCCATTTTACAGATGACAAAAATGGGTGACCAGGGAATTCAAAGGATTTACACAAGTTCTTCATCTACAAAAAGACAGGAGCAAAATTTGTGTGCTAATTAAAATCTCCAATGACTGATATAGAAATCGAAAGAGGCACCAGATTGATTAAAATTGAGCTCTTCTTTCCCAAAGATCACCCTTTCTGGTATAAAGGTATTTACACAACTGTATTTGTAACCAAAATGTACCTTGTTTAAGCAAAGATTTATTGTGAAGAGGGATATTTTGTCCAGATTTTGGATTAAGGCAGAGACCTAAATGGCCTGACAAGAAGTAGTCACACTGATTGTGTCTGCTGGGCAGCACCGCCTCCAAGGAGGAAAACATAAGAGTCACACCTGGGCATGCTTTAAAGGGCCCTGTGTTTGGTTTAATGCTCTGCTGTCTCTGTCTTGAAATTCTTAATCAGTTTTAAGCAAGGGTCCTGTATTTTCATCTTGTACTGGGCCCTGCAAATTATGTAGAGGTCCTGCTGATGGTATTTTTACCTTTTGATCATTGCTGGATAAACACAGACACTTCTCTTGCTCCTCCTTGGCCCACGTCATAATCTTTCAGACTGCCCCCTGTACCAGCCAGCCACTAAAAGCAAAAAAAAAAAAACAAAAGTAAAAAATAGACTGATCCCAGAAAATTCTGTTAGCACGCGATTTCCTCAGATTGACTGGAATGCAACAATTAGGTTGTAGCTTACATTACTGTTCTTTCAATAACTGCGTGTTTTATTACTGTAAAAACTTGCACTGAGCACCCACGCCGTGTGAGGCACTTGCCAGGTCTAAGGTAATTTTCCAGTGCTTTCTAGCACCACTTTCTTCAGCCTCCTCTAAAAGAAGGGAAGTTTCTACAGCTTGCTACTCTAAGCCATTCTATGTTCTTACTAGATTTCCCTCTCAGGAAGTGAACTTTCATGATCTTGTCCCTCAGCACTGAGGGCATCTTATTAATTCCCCTTTGTACAGCCTACAATTACCACCAACGGGAACTACTGTGCTGCCATCTGAGAAATGAACCCCCATGGAAATTGCCATCCTTGCCCAAGGCTAACTGAGTTCTCTGGCAGGTCCTGGAGGATTTGCAAAATATTAAATATGTTCCATATTCTTTGTACATTAAAAAATCCAATCTGAGAAATCTCCTTATGTATTAACTATCTGTTTCTACATGATATTACGCTCAGCACCGTACAGAGGGCTTTAGTTATAGTCTTATTTCTGTAGAATCTGCCAGAAGTAGATCATGAGACTAAAAATATCTGAATGTAAAGACAGTGTAGACAAGGGCAAAAAAGAAAGACTATTGGGCAACACAAAACAAAGAATGTGCTTGGTGTCCATTTCAAGAATAAGTGCATTAGCAGAGCTGTGAGGAGTGAGAGAGCCGTAAGTGGCTAATGCTCACACCGGATGGTGCAGAGAGAAGCTATTAGACCTTTTCCAAATAGTTCTGGAAGACTGTGTAGAGGAGGTGGGATTGCAGGAGCTATTTGGATGATGGAAGAGAGATTACTTGGCAGAGAAAAAGAGAGAGCATTCCAAGAATATGGCACAGTTTGGAAAAGGCTTGTGTGGAATGAGTGGGTGATGGAGATATTAAGCCAATTGGCTTGAACTGAGTGGGCACTCATTCCAAGGAATGCTTTCAATTTTGATTCAAAGCAAAATAGTGGCTTTCTGTGGCATTATTATGGCAACTAACAATAAATTTTTGAGTCCAATGTATGCTACACAAATCAAGACCCAGGTCATGGACTTCCTAGGAAAAGTCTCCTGGGCAATAGTAAGAGAGTAAGACCTGAGGGTAAGAATCATCAGCTACCCTCAGGGTAAGCTCAGCTAACCCCATACACTCCACTCCATAGAGCAACAAGAAGCAAGTAGCCAGATTTGCTACAACAGAAGGAAGAAGGGGTTTGTCCTCTTCCATTATTGTGAGGACAGAGAACATGGGCACCAATTTTTGTGTCCATACAACTATCTTTGGCATTGTGTGAACTCAGAGGGTCTAAACAAAGAGCTCAGTGGACCGGGACACTGGGAGGAAGGCCACTGTCTACGCTTTCCACGTGATTAACTTCAACACCTAAGTAAGAATGTATTTATCCACTGTTATCGATTTTAAAATTATAATATTTCCTGCTTGTAAGAAGCTTATACATTAAATGAGGAGATAAATGATGCCCATTTGAAAAGTCCAATGAGAAAAAAAATGAAGCAACTGTCACAAAGAGACATTCTTATGGGCCGATTAATGAATCTGACAGTGTGTAGATGACATCACTCTAGGTCATAAAGACTAAGAATGACCTTTAGCAGGGGTGAGAGTACATGGGATGTGTCTTGAAGAATGATTAGGACTTAGATCACTAAACAGGTAGGGCAGAGCATTATGGAAAGGCACAAAAGCTGGGAGGAAAAACATGGTAACCAGAAAACGGAAGTCGTGATAGAAGGGAGTCGCCATATTGCCCAGAGTAGAAAACTCCTGGGGGATGTTAGAAGGAAGCGAGGCAGGACAGGGGTGGCAGCCTCATTAGTGAGGGCAAATGGAGCTCATTTTCTCTGTTGTTGAGAGGGATGAAATAATCAGAGAATGGCAGCTTTTGCCTGAGCTAAGAAAAAAAAAGTTCACATTTTGAAAACTTTCAATAAGTTTTTTTTTCTTGCCCTAGTACAATGTTGAATTGCCAGTGCATGGCAGAGGTAAATCATCTACCCTATACAATGATTTTGATAGCACCATCTGAAGAGCTACCAGATAATTTGTCTTTGTGAAAGGCTGTAAGCATATTCTTGAGCTCTGCTACTGCTACCAGAGCAAGCACCTTGTGGAAGGGCTCTGGAGTGCATCATTTGGCACATCCCGCTGCTCTGGCCATCTGCTGCACCTTACAACGTGGTCTGGCAATTCAGGAGATGGCACAGGCAGCCCAGCAATATATCCATATGTTATTCTCCTCTCCCTTGCTTGAGGAACAGAACAGCCATCTTCAAGACACCACCAGGAATTCCAAGTCCCGTGATTTCCTTTGTCTCCTCAGGACCAAAGATATCAACATTTACTTTAAAAGGGCAAAAGCAAACAGCCAGTCTGTCTGAACAAAACCTGCATTGGTGTTATTAGGAGCTAGCCTCCGAATATAGGAGAGGGGAACCCCATTCTAAAAAAAAAAAAAAAAAAAAAACAACTAATGCTGAGTACTCACGGGTGGCTTAGGAAGAGTGGTTCTCTGGTATATAGGAAAGATTTGTGTGAAGCTAAGATCAGCATCACCAGCTCTCGTACTTGTGTGCAAGAATGCATAATCTAAAGCCTTGCCTTTCAAGGTGTGGTTCATAGCCCAGTAGCATCTGCCTCACCTGGGAGCTTGTTAGAAATGCAGAACCCAAGGCCCCACCCCAGACCTACTGAATCAGGAGCTGTATTTTCATAGGATCCCCAAGTGATTCATATGCACATTAAAATTTGTGATGCACCGATCTAGAAGAGGATATTTGCAAAAGCTTCTGCCTATGCAGTTTTGACTATTCTAGGCAAATACTCTTCATGCAGTGAATGAAGTGGTGCTCCTGCTACTCCATCCAGCAATTTATGCAGATTGCTTACAGAGATTTTTTTAACTACAAACTTTATACCCCAAATAAATTTTTTTGTTAACAATACTAATTGAGTTCATAGCATTTATCATAGGGATCATCACACATAGAACTACAGGGATGGCTGTTCGGTGGTTTTATCAGCCCACATTTCCTCCTCAGGGAGGGAGCATTGAAGAGAGTTTCTGCTCTGGATCCTTGCTACAGTCTGAGATCTGCACTGAGTTGACCACTTCTTAATTCAGGACACTTAAATCTCTGTGTATAGATTTATTCAAAGAAGAGCCCGTGAGTGCTGACGATTTTCTTGTTAACCTTATTAGCAACTGCTGCGCGCAGCGGCCCAGTCCTCTAATCTGGATGTCAGGCGTGGGCTCAGCGTCTTCCACACCGGTGGTGCCTTTTCTTCTCCTGCTGGCTGAGTCTGCTTGCACACTCTATTAATGAAGGGTTCTAAACCCCCTTTGGCAGGGAAGAGTCTCTTCCTACTTGGAGTTTGAATTGAAAATGAATTCCCTATTTGCACAGTACCATGACACTTCACATAATATAGTTTACCATCCCCCAGGCAGCAGTCGACTGGACAGTGTTTCTTAAATGCTTTATGTTCAGTATCGTGTGGGTTGCGGTTGCTCATAGGGAAAGGAAAAAGACAGTTCAAAGCTTGAGCAGAAGAACAAAAATGCCTCCTAGACCTCCAAAATGTCCACCTAAGGTTCAGCTCTTAACACTGAAAAATGACTAACCGGGTCCATATTTTTAAATCATTAAAAATGTATGTGTTTAGCTAAGAAAATGAATGAAGAGTTAAGAAAAATTAATTCCATCTCTTATGGAGTGATTAAAAATAGAGGTAACAAATGATCGGTTAATGAAGCACATGGACTGGAAAGGTGATATAGATAATAAAATATGGATTATTCAGAGTACTATTTTTAATTGAAAATATATAGGAAGATTTTTAGCATCAGGCATTTTCTACTAATATTGTTGCTAAAAAAACAAAAATGATTTTCCCTCTTGGATCCTAGCACACTTGATGGTCTTGGGGACAACCCAGGAAGAGGATCCAGGATGTAGGTTGCTCTGGGATTCAAAGTTTTCATTACAGGTAGAAACATAAAAACTGATATTTTTTTACCATCTAATCATTCAAAATACTGTAAAGCATTCTGCTATAGTAGCTTCTACACAACAGGCAAACTACGGGTACATTTGAACAATTTATTTCCTCAGCAAATACCTCAGATACTGTTTTAGGGATCCAGAGATGTTTTCGCTAAACAAAAACACGCTCCCATCCCTCGTGGAGCTTACGTTTTAGTGGGATAAATGTGCAAATAAACAACCCAAAATATAATTGCCTTACAATCTGACGGAGATAACTGGCAAAAGAAAAATTAGCATCACAGAAAAATATGCTAACATCTGGAGAATCATGAAATTATGAGCAACAAGCATCAATGAAATCATGCCAAATTCAAACGATGGCTTCTCTTGGTCGGCTTCCAGAATTAACTATTAAAAGAACATATTAGCCTTAAACCCAGTATGTCTTCTGTGATGGCCGTGGAGTGGGTCATGTCATGCTCCATTCATGAGGGATGGATAGATGCCAGGGTGTTTCGCGGGAACCTAATTGTTCTTCCCTGCCAGGAAATTGCTGCCGCATGACAAAATCCCAAGGATCAAAGTGCCTGAAGACAAGAAGTCCTGTAGCAAACTTGCATATTGCTTTCAGATAATGTTATAGATCACCCCCGAATGCCCTGCAGTTGGCAGTGTTCCTGACGGGGTACTGGTCCCTCAGAGTCAGCATGAGCTGTCTGTCTCTGTGGCCTTGGGCAAGTTACTAATGCCTCTGAACCTCAGTTTTCTCATTTGAAAAATGGAAATTGTAGTCCATCAACATAAGATTAGTGAAGAGCATATTTGTGTATGTATATGTATACACACACACACA